TCGACACCGTTCATGAAACGAACAAAGTACCGAATGGGAGACCACTCACAGGGGGTCGTGTGGCTCCCATTACTCTTTGCAACAATGTATCTTTCGGCAGTTAATAGATGTTCAGGGTGGCCGCCGTTCGGATACCGACCACGCGGCGGTGGCCATCTTGGATCCTTTGTTAGCCCAGCGGTGTTTGGTCGTCGAGTGGCTGGAACTAAAATCGGCTACTCGTCGGCACAAATACCGCTGGTCTTCCAGGCCGTTCGGGAGCTCCGGTCTTTCTGTATTTTATCTCTACATGTGTATTCGGGACTTTTATGAAGAATTTGTATTCAACTGTATTTCGTGCGGCGTTCGGCTAATTGTGCTGGGATCTGATCGGTATTTTCACAAAGTATGCGCTCAGACCCCAGCTATCTGCCGAACGGTCATTCGGTACAATAGCACGAATAATATTGGAGTTATGGATTTTTATGTAAAAAGCCAGTTCTGCTGTACGGAGGGATAATCCACTTAACTGGATATTCTAGTGGGAGTATCCCTCTCGTACAGCGGTGGGAGAAATGTTCTGTATGTTAAGTTCCCCATGTAGTCCCCTACTGTACAACCCCTGTAAAGTCAGTAAGGAAACCCGTTGCATGGGGAACCACATAAATACTGGAGTTTATGAATAAAACCTCAGTTGACTCCCAGCCTATGTGTCATCTAGTTCTTGGGAGGGAAGGATCCTTATAATGCTACCTGGATTATTGTATGCTGTACTTGCTTTACTGGATTATTGTATGTTTTTCCTGTCTACCATTGGAGATACTGTGGATTATACTACTTCTCCGCTACATGTGTATAATTTTTCAGATTGATATTTGGGAAACTGTTTATATCACTAATCGCATTTGTTTTGTACATAATCCTATGTTAATAACATTGTATAATGTTAACTATATTTTGACTTCTGATTTTTTTTTTTTAGTCTCAGACATCAGCTGATGGTCTTCGAGATGTTCCATTAAAGAAATCAGAGTATGAAATAAGTGAGACAGCAGGTGAGTTAAAGACACGTGGTTTTATCAAGTGCTGGACATGGGAAGGAAGATCCCAAATTGTTCTTTGCTCAAAGCTAACACGTTCTCTTTAGTGGGGTGTTTGTTTTGGAGGTGGGGGGGGAAAGTGGAAGGAAGGTTTTTTGCTTTTGCAATTTACTTTTGTTTGTTACACAAACAAATCATTAGACCAGGTTGTTTAGTACTTTTTTATTTATTTGTTTAATTTTTAAATATTTTTTTTTTTTTTTTTAATGAAGGTTTAGTAGTTAATTCTCAACAGCTGAGATAACTCTGTGCTCAGGAGATCCTTCATAAATTGTACAGAGTAGTATGTTAGGCCAACATTCAATGCAAGTCAACTTCATCTGAACTAAAATGCAAACAAATTCCAATGCAGCTCCTTTTAATTTTTGTGTACGTAAAAACTACTTAATACACCTGGATTGCAATCATCTAGTAAAAGAGTTTCACCATCTCACGTGTTTCGTGCAGACAACCCACAAAAAAATACTTCTATAACGCTGATATTTCAATGCAGTCTAACAGTTTGAAACATTTAACTTAACAAACGTTGTATACTCAAGTCCCTTGAGCTTGTGCCTATTCTATCTTTGTTATGAGCCTCTTGCATTCTGTCCCTCTCTCCTCTTAGGATTTAGTGGAGATAAAGGGGTTAATGAGTTTTACAGGGGTGAGAAGGTTAATCGCACATATAAGAATAATTTATCCCTATGAGTCTCGATCTTAAACTGAAGTGTGCGGTGTGCTTTTTTTAAAAAATGTGTATAAATATTTTTTAATGTTTTATTTCTCGCACCTATCATCTAATTGTGGGTTGTCTGCATAAAGGTGGTGGGACTGTTTCCTCTGTGATCACACTCCAACTGTATTACGTTATTTTTAAATGCACAATAAAAAATGGAACTACTCCTGGAGTATGTTCGTGTTATGCCACTGTCTGTCGATTCAGCTTTATCGCACTTTAAGTGGACCCCCGAGGGAAGCACTTGTGGCGAGTTAACAGTTCAATTTGTAGTAGTGAGTGATATTACCTTGTTTTAATATGTAATTGTAGGTTAGGTGATCGACTGGCTGTGTATAATTATGATCAACAGTTATGTATTGTAAATGGATAAAATGGGACCTAGGTATTCTATATTTACAATTTGTCTTAAAATATTACACCCCAGAGTCTCATATTTAAACCTGTAAAGGGAATCTTGCAGGTTATCATCAAGACAGGATATATTGTAGTAGTTCACTGACATAAGTCTTTAAAGGGACACTCTGGGCCAGGGGTCCTCAAACTATGGCCCGCGGGCCGGATTCAGCCCGCCAGGGTCCTAAACCCGGCCCAAGCATTTAGAGCCACCCGATGGGCCCTATATCAGCGCTGCGAGTGGGCCCCTTTAAAATTGCAGCCACAAGTAGTGCTGGGAGGAAGTTACGGCCAGTCACTTCCTCCCAGCTCCCTCCGCGCGGGAAGGAAAAGAGACAGGCCGCGAGGACAGAAGAGCCACGCCGACTCTCATCAGCCACAGCCACCCTCATGCAAAAAAGGAAGAAAAAATAGTTATGTCTGTGTGTCTGTACGTCTGTCTGTATGTATTTGCATGTTTGTATGTCTGTCTGTATGTATTTCAGTGTGTACGTTTATGTATGTCTGTCTTCTATGTATGTGTGTGTCTGTCTGTCTGTCTGTATGTATGTTATGTGTATGTCTGTTTCAGTATGCATAGGAATTCGTTCAAATTGTTTTTCAAACTATAGTCCGGCCCCCAACAGTGAACTGGCCCCTTGTTTAAAAAGTTTGAGGACCCCTTCTCTGGGTACTCTTTAGCAACACACCCTCACTACAGAAAAAATACTTTCTTGTCAAATGTATGCACAAAGCTCAGCCCATGACAGTACTGAATAGCAACCTGCATCACCAGAGGACACCCTGGGAGACATAGTAAGGATATCACTACCTGTATGTAATCTTTTGACTGTCTGCAGCCAGGTATTGAATTCATCTTGCTGTTGGGGCTGAAACTGAATACTTTTTCAGCTAAGGAGGCAGGCTTATGGTGCATCATTTTGCAAATATTTGTTTTTGTGCAAAAACTATAAAGATTTGTACATGCAGAAAAATATAACCTGTAATGAGACTAAAATCTGTCAAATGCATTAAAGTTGTATTGGGCCCCGAGTGTCACTTAAAACAGGTGATGGAAAAAGAATAGTACTTTAGTTTAGTTTTTTTTTTTCTACCTCTTCTTCCTAAATGCCAGAAGCTGCTTTAAATATTCTACTATTTCATACAAGTAGGGTATAAAACAGAGGTATATGGAGGAAAATGTGTTTTGTTTTGTTTTTGTTTGTTTTTTACATTTATTTTTTTACTATTTCTAGTAAATTTGCAAGAGAATGTCCTGAGCAGTTATTTAACAAGTTGTTTTAATTCCGTCATATGTCACTTGTGATGAATAATGGGGGGAAATGCAGACGGATGTTTTTGTAATTTCCGTGCACATATATAAGTAGTATATGTGCACACAAAAGGGTTTAATTGTTTTTAAATTTTTTATTTTGGGGGCCTGAAACTGTTGCCATTGTCACAATCACATCTGTGCAAGGGTGATTTTTTTTTTGATTTTTTGATTTTTTTTTTAAGAGAGAGACTTGAGTTAAATTTTAACCTGGCTTACTGGCAAAAAAAATCCATGTTATCAGTCCTGTTTGAATGGATTGACTATGTTGGTGACTTGAAAATTTTGCTTAGGTTTTCCTATTAACGTTAGTTGGATTTTTATATTATTATTATTATTATTATTATTATTATTACATGAACTACATATATTGTTCTAGGCATCCATTCTCATAATCCGTCATTTTATGTTGACTCCATTTGCGTGGTTATCAGTGACTTGGTATAAGTCTGATGTGCTTGTACATAAATTGGATCCCAAGTTATGAAATCATTTTTATGTACCTCTATTTTGTTTCCCACCTTGCATTATGATTTTCTGACGACCGTCTATCATTCTCCACTTTGTTAGAACTGACATTTTTCTAACTGTTCTGTTAATACAAACCAAGAAATTAACCACCCTTGCTTAACATCTTGGATTTCCAGCCCATTTCTCTTCCAGTCTCCAAAACCTTGAATCAAGTAAAGTGTTTCAGCCAGGGGATTCTTTCTTTCACTGAATAATTCAATACAACACCTGTCCTTGCCACCTAATGTATACTAATTCTTAGATCTTTACTCTGTAAATTTTATTCAGCCTCACTGCTACACTGTGTTCCTATGTTCCTGAATTTCCTTATGAATGTCTTTCACCCACAGCTTATGTTCCTGTTGTCATGTGTGTGCGTGCACGCGAATGACCTCTGTCATTGTATTGCACACCAACATTTTCATTTTGTCAACTTGTTTGCTCTTTAAATGTTTAATGTTTTCATTTTCGACAAATACTACACATCTAAGAATCTTCAACTGTGCCTTCTTTCCCAACAATTAAATATTGTCTCCCTTCTTCTGTTGCAGTATCTAACATACCTGGAGCATTCTCTTCCACACTGTCTAAGCTGGTACTTGTGGTCCGATCTACACATGACGAGTTGTGAATAAAAGATGGTGTAAAGGGTTCATGTAAACTGTACATTCCATACTGCCTTGCACTATGTTAATGGAGTCTGTAGGCTGAACGGGGTTGTAGTTATCTCTTTCAGTGAAGGTGTTGACTGTAATGGTTAAGGAATCAGTGGTGACCAGTGAGATGTTGGGTCCAAAATACTTTGTAGCAGGAAATAAAACTTTTAAATTAATCTGTGTGTACGCTGTGTTTTGTTTTCTATATTGTCTAAATATTTTAACAAAAATAATCTATAATCTTCTGAAAAGCAATATAAATTGTACAGTGCCAGAACTGATGATAAAGCAAGCCACTGTTTCTTAATGCAGGGAAAATCACAACTCACTTTAAATCACTTTAAGCGGAGAACGCTCTGAAAACTAAGCCCAGACAGTATTTTACCTTTATTGTAAACATAAGTCATTAAAAAGGTTTTAAAATAACCATTTACCTAAATATCATAACTAATATCTTAACATTAAGGTTTTCAATGATGAATGCACTTTGAAGAATATTTTAAGCACTAATTCTTGAATGTCTGTCTGCTTAGGCCAATGGCAATATACATTCTCAGCACTGCTCTCTGTGGTTCTTGAAGGTTTGTAGCACCTTCCAATCTGGATTTTCAGTGCTATTTATTTCCTTTTTATAAATGCACATTTGCACTGCAGAAACAAAATGTTCACATCTTTTTTTATTAAATGATGTATGAAACCTATTTGAGAGATGTTGTAATATATGATCCGACTTTGGATGACCTCTTCAGATGTTCCCTTCCTCCAGCATGTGGTTGATACCGGCACATATCCCATGTAAATGTGTGGGAAAGGGCTCTGCTGAGCTGTATAATGCAGTTAGGAAGTTGGGATCAGCTAGCTGGCCAAAGACATGGTTAATGCGGGCATGGCTCTTGGTCGTTAGATGATGATGGACAGCATGGAGTAGGAGATCCTGACATTCAGTTAGCAGGTTAGACAACACACGGCGGTCAAATGTGAAATCTATCTGACAGAAGCTAATGGCAGTCATGGCGAGCATGCGAACCTTTTTCCGTAAATTTTGTAGCACTAGACGCTCATCAGCACTGAACTGAGCATTGCGGTGTAGAACACTGACCTTTACCACAATTTTAATGAGATTCTTAATCACTTTGTGTGCTTCTTTGCGGCTGTGTCTATGTTCCTTCAGTGCCTTATACAAGTCATCCAAAATAGCACTTCCAGTATCATCTAGGAATGCACTCACCACGGATTTGGTTGCCATTTTGCTGAGCAGTTTCTTTTGTGCTTGAAGGACCAGTGTCTTTGTGCTGAATGAGTCCATACTGGAGAGCAAAACGGAGATATGTAAATTAATTGACCTTACTACAATAGTCACAAAAAACTTTCAAGAAAAAACAAATGATCATCTAAAAACAAAATCTAACATGTTTTCTTTTATCAGTACTACAGATACTCGACTTGGAAAAGGAACGACTCGTAAAATGTAATATCGAGCATGTTCCTCCAAACACATCACTGCAGTCTACAACACAACATACATGAAAATTTATACGCTGCTCTTACCGAGTAAACAGAGTGCTTAAAGATTTTGTCTGTGATGTTTCTGTTTAAGAATCTTTACTGTATGATTGCATGGGTCTGCCTAGGCTAAATAAACGGGGCAATTAATGCTGGTATTGTCATTATGATCTCGATTGGGATAACCGCACAATGTAAACTTTTCTCACACTCCCTGTCTCCTAAAGAACTGACTTTCTAGAGCACAGTCTGCGTATTGAAATGAAGCAGAGAAATAGAGTGATAAATGTGTCTGCAACATATTTCGTGCATCCGTTCACTAAGCTGCCTGCTGCAGTTATTGCCCTTCTTCAGTGTTTAATCTAGTTCCCTGTACATGCAAGCCTTCATGTACCCATCACCATAAGAACAGATGATTTTACTATTGTACAAATACTGCGTGATTACATATTCTGTGCCATTTTTCTTGTAGCTCTAAATTCATGGCTTTTCTCTCTACTGAAAAGCATAACTAATATACCCTTGTTTTTCACACTAACATTTGCTGTTGGCACTGTTAACAAGTAGGTTTCTCACCTGTTAATGTTTATTGAAGAGAAGGGATTTTCTTTTTGTCCTACCGCAGTCTCGCACTATGTGCAGATTTTTAAAGCGAGTTATTGTAAGGATGATTGCTCCACTTCTTAAGATTTCTGGACTACTATAAAATCCAAGTCAGGAAGGGAGGAACAAACACACAGCAACAAACGGACATTTCCTGCTATTGTGAACGAGAGACAGAAACCTCCCCTCTCTATCTTCCTTTATCCATTTTTCCTGTGTTAAGAGGATCTGATGACAAAAACTCTGAATAATGCATTGAAATAAGACCTACTTTGCTTCTGTGCAGAATAACACAAAAAGCTTATGCACACCTACAGCAATAATTTGTACGACCATACCACAATACTCCTATATGTTGGTTTGCTGTGCTAGACATTTTTCTGGATAAGTTCACTAATAGTACATATAGTGATAATTTTTTTTAAACAATAAAATCTTTGATAGAATGTATGCAGATCTTGAAAGTTAACTTCAAAGCATACTGAAGTGGTTATGGTGCAAGAACGATGTCTATGCAGTGTAGTGTTTCAGTAAGACTGTTTTTCTTCTTTTTTTTTTTTTTCTCCTTTCAGACATTTTTATTTCCTGGCTGGCTGTGTCATGGTTATGCAACTTTTGTATTTAGCATCCGCAAGCATGGCATAATCACCCAAAACCCCTAGAACAGGCGTAGGTAAGCTCCAGCACTTGAGATGTTGTGGACTACAACTACATTGTAACAAACTAGCTTTGTCAGCATTATGGCTTAACCCCTTAAGGACACATGACATGTGTGACATGTCATGATTCCCTTTTATTCCAGAAGATTGGTCCTTAAGGGGTTAGGAGCATTATGGGAGGTGAAGTCCACAATATCTAGAGTGCCAAAGGTTACCTACCCCGCTCTAGACATTCATACTTGGGAAGACTAAATCAGGGCTCGGCAACCTTCGGCAATCTAGATATTGTGTACTACATTACCTGTGATGGTTTGCCACTATTATGGCTGTAAGAGCATTATGGGAGATAAAGAAAATCTAGGCACTTCAAAATGACTCACCTGTTGCTACAGGAGTCCCGGACCTCACACCTTGTCCTTTTCTTGGTATTTTTTTGATTGGTATTTACTTTCACTGTATGTGATATTGTTTTTATTACATTGTCCTGATGAAGTTCCTCTCATAGAACGAAACTCGTAGGACCTGACATATATATATATTTTTTTATTAATAAATCATTTAACTATACTCGCCTGAATTTCGGTTCCTGTCTGGGGAGAGGAGGAGGATGTGTGAAGTCCAGGCCTCCTCTAGGAACAGGTGAGTCATTTTGAAGTGCCTGCATTTTGTTTGAACGCGATTCATTCATGAATATACTCATACTATGATGGACCGCCTGGCACCCCGACTGCCAATCGATGCTTCCTAGTGCTCACATAGTACTCCAAGCATTCCACCAGACACCATAACCACCGTAAACCCTGCAGCCAGCGTTACAGCTTGGTTGGGGTCTCTCTGTCCTCCACCCACCCTAAACCCAAGACCAGGATCCAGCTTCCAGTGGGTAGACCTCTCCCTATCCAGAGAGTAATGCAGGATAGCTCTTACAAGAGCTAATTTTTATAATCCAAGGGAGTATAATGAGTATAGCAATTTCCAGAGTGAATATTGCTGTTCCCTCCACACATGTGATGAGGGTGAAGAGGAACTCCTTTATTGGCAGCCACAACTGGCCTTATATGCAGGTCCCCATGCAAGGGGCACTCCCCACTGGACCTGAAAGTAGACTACAGTAAAAACATACACACAATTACTTTGGCAGGTTCAGGACACTCCCACACAAAATAGGTTAATCCCTCCCCTGTGCCTGAGAGATAATTGAGTCAGGAACTGTACTAAACTCCATTATCTCTAGGCACAGAAAACACATATTTAACAACCCCCCAAAAGTACCCCTAAAACACATGGAAACCCCACAAATGTCACATTCCCTGATAGCCCTGATCTGGGGGACCAACATATTCAAAAATCACCCAGATTGGTCCAGGGATTTACATGGAGGTCATAATTTGACCGACGGCACACGAGGCTCCTGCCCAAAAGAGTTCCATTAAATCAGGCTGTGTGGTCGGTCTCTTTCGGGAGTTTACAATACAGCAGAAATACGAATGCAACCAGTTCATATAAACACTTAGTCTGTGTCTCTTGTTTGGAAGTGTGTTTCCACAGAACGCCGCTCTTCTTAAGTGAATCCAGCTGAAGGTACGAAGAGATGGAAGGCCCAGTGGTGTTCGTGCCGTCGCATGTCCGATTATAGTTTCATGCACTTGACGACCAAACACCGCTGTTTGTGTTCGTGGTTAAAGATGGCCGCCGTCTCCACTAACAAGCGGAAGAGTGGGCATCAGAGCACAGTGCTGCTGGCCTCTGCCCTACCTGTCCCCTTGTTACAGGGCAGGACTGTCCACCGGTCCCCCCAGCAGAGGAGCTGGCATCCGGGCAGAGAGCTGGCCTCTGCTCTCCACTTCCCCTTTGTCCAGAGCCTGATTACTGCTTTCAATGTTACACTCCCTGCCCAAAGGTTAGAAAAAAGGAGGGGGAAATATAACATTTTTAATTTTATAATTAATTAAAAAACAAAAATAAAAAATACACACACCCCTGTGCCCCCTGGTATCAGCGCATGAAGCATTCTAACCTTGGACACCTTGGACAGGCTGCCTATAGCACCTGACAATACAGTCATATATGTACCTCACCAAAGTGTTTTTTAGTTTTCTTTTGTAAATTAAAGATTTATTTGAGTCAGCAGCAAAAATAATACACATTGAGAAAGTACACGCATATGCATTTGTAAAGCCATGCAAGGCCGTTTAAAAATTAAAATAAAGCTTGGAGGCGAAGGTCTGATAAAAGACGTAAAAAACTTTGCGAACAAAACATAAATAAAAAAATATGGAAGTAAATCATTTCCGTTGAACCGTGTGTGAAATTGTGTTTTACAAAGGTCATGATAAAAAAAAATCAAACAGCCACACCTTGCTCGCCTCTGTTACATAAAGTGACAACTGGGATATAATTAACTGGCATTTACATCCTCGCCAAAAGGCCCTGTTGATGAACCTGCTCCAATATTTGAAGCATGGACTCTTCCCTGTGGGGACGATATAAGGAAGAGCAACAAACAAAATGTAGTAATGGAGCCATATAGATACACAGGCACATACACTGACAGACATACTGACACACACACACACACACACACACACACTGATAGACCTACTGACACACACACCCACACAAGACACATACATTGGTAGACATACTGACGCACGCACGCACGCACGCACGCACGCACGCACATATACAGACATACTGACACACATACAGGCACATATACAGACATACTGACACAGACACATATACTGATAGACATACTGACACACATCCCCAGGCACATACACTGACAGACATACTGACACACAGATACAAACACTGACAGACATACTGGCACACACACAGGCACATACACTGACATACATACTGACACACACAAATACATGCACTGACAGACATACTGAACTTTTTAATTTTCAAACCCATCCTCCATTTTCCTACCTTTTGTTGGAGGGTGGCTTCCCTGGGGTCCAGTGTGGTGCCTGAGGCTGATAGGAGTGAGGAGCCTCCATCCTCTCTGCCGCCGCTGCCTCCTCCCGCTCCGCTCCTCTCTTTACTCGGCTCACGGCTGCCACTTCCTCCCATGCTGCCGGAAAGCAAAAGGGCCAGTTTGCGCTGTTAAAGGGCCACAGCCCCACACCGGGCCCCTGCAAGGTGGGACTCCTAAGAGTACGAAAAAAGGAACTGATGAGGGCCCAAGGCAGCTGCCCTTTATGTAGGTCTGTGAACGTTCCTGAGCTGAAAATGTCAGTTCCTCCAGTCTTTGCAAAGTAACTCACCAGTATGGTTTTACATATCAGAACATTATAATAATCATCTATTCCTTAGCAGGTCTTAAATTAGGTAATACAAACTCAGATGAACAACAACACACAACATATTACACTGTGTATATTTTATTTAACAAATATAAAGCCAAAATGTGAAAAACTAAGCACACCTTATGATTTAATAGCTTGTAGAACAACCTTTAGCAGCAATTACGATCTCTCACATCCCTGTGGAGGGATTTTGTCTGACCCTGTTTTACAACGTTGCTTCAGTTCTTCTAGGTTATTATGTTATTATGTATAAAACCGGTACATGGGGGGAATTGTTGTACTTGTGAGACGTCACAGCATACAAATATGTGTTTTATTGCATTTAATGCAAACGGTATCATGACATTCACAGTAAAATGCCACACAGAAATAACATTTCTTTAGGTTTGGTTATTATGTTTCCTATATAAATATTCGATATGAAATGAAAGCCCTGTTTTTCCTGAACAAAATGATACATAATAGCTGTGGGTGCACTATGCACTTAATATGAAAGAGGTAAATCATGGCTGAACAGAATTATAGCTCAAATTCCAGGTTTTGTATTGGATCACAAACTGTACTATCGCCTCCGTCCTTAAGGGGTTAACATAAGTTAACATAAGACTACAGGAATTCCATCCGGACAGAGTTAATGAATTCTTGGAAGACAGCTGGAACATTACACAACAGGAATTGTATGACATTATGTTCATAATGCCAACTATGGGTATTAAAAGCTTTCTTGTGTCTCTCTTTGATTTCTACCAGAGTGTAAACTCTGTTTATGTCTAATTTTGTATATACTACAGAACTCTTGAGACAATGGAAGAGTCCTGCTCGTAATATTAATAGGGCTGTTTTTTTCTTTTTAATTTGTTATTTTTTGATATACAAAATATTAGAATCGTAGTAGGAAAAAATACATTCTACATTGTAATCTACAAACAATAACAGGGCTGCCTTAACCCCTTAAGGACACAACTTCAGAAATAAAAGGGAAATATGACGGAATATTTCCGTCATGTGTCCTTAAGGGGTTAAGGTACCCCAGGAGTGGTGCACAAAACTATCCTGCACAATTGTCCTTTAAAGGGACACTATAGTCACCAGAACCACTACAGTTTAATGTAGTGGTTTTGGTGTCTATAGTATAGCACTGCAGGCGGAGCACTGTAAACGCTGCCTTTTCAGAGAAAATGCAGCACCTACATTCAGAATACCCACACTCTGCATAGAGGAGCTATACATTCCTCATAGAGATGCATTGATTTAATGCATCTCTATGAGGAGATACTGATTGGTGCAGCACGGAGTTTTGCGTGCATGCACAATGGCCTCCCAATGCTTTTCTTTGGGAAACCATTGCATTGGCTGAAGTCAACAAGATTGAATCTCACTGATTTGACACACACTGACAGACACATACAAATTCTTTCAATCACACTCAGAAATTATTATTTTTTAATTATTTTATTTAAGTCCACCCAACCTCCCTACCCATGGGAGAGCTGGAGTGGATCCTTTCTCTGGGGACTAGTGTGGCTGCTTTCATCTTCATGGTCGTCTTGGTCTGCGCCCTCGCACGGTTCTGTGATGCCGGGGCCAGAGTGACGTCATAACCTGCCTTCCCGCATTATCATAGAGTATGCAAGGGAGCAGTGCTGAAAGAGTATGGAGATCACAGCTTCCTCAGAGCCTGGCTACAGTCTCCCCCCAACACTGTATTTGAGCAGAGAAGGCATCTGCTGTCCAGGTAAGCAGATGCCTATTCTGCCTTATCATACAGCTGACCATCTCCTGGTGGGCCCTAAGGTGGCCAGCCAGCCAGCCCTTGGTGTACCCCGTGCTTTTTGGTGCATGTACCTTCTGCGGTATGCATACCACAGGTTGAGAAACCCAGGTGTAAGAGATATAGAAGAGGGGGTCGAACTGGATGGATTGAGTTATAGCAAGATGGGATGATGATATTTGAAGAGGGAGAAGAGCAGGGTTGTGGAGGGACTTGTATACCAGGGTGAGGCTATTGAAAACAGAGTGCTGTCAAATTGGAAGCAAATGGAGTTTTTGAAGAAGGATCATGTTCAGGTGAATGCAGCAACTGCATTTGTATTTGCTGGAGTGAGTGATGGATCATTGAGGAAGGTTGAGCAGCAGAAGAGATTTGCAGTAGTCTAGTCTGGTGAGGATGAGGAAATGGGATACAAGTCTTACAGCAGAGTAAGGGGGAAATGAAGGATCTTCTGAATAGTGAAAAGGTGAGAATGGTCAAAGGAAGTAAGGGTGTCTATATGTGTCTTTATTTTATTTATTGTGTGTGTGTGTGTGTGTGTGATTATGTAGATCATACACAGAAATGGGGAGAGAGGGAAAATATCCCCTCTCCACACCCCATAATGCATTCCTCAGGAGAGGGTCTCTGTGGGGGAGAAAGCTAACCAGGATCAAAGAGACCCTTTCGGTAACGGAACTAAGTAATACAAATAGTTGGACAAATAGTTACACCAAGGGCATCCGGGTAAGGCTGCATTTTAGCAGATCTGTCATAAAGTGTTGCAGGGAGCAAATCTTTTGGATACATTTCTCTGGTATTTGATCACAGCAACCAAAAAGATGAGATGCCATCTGGCTTAAAATTCAATTCTTAGATTTTGATTTTTTTTTTAACCATATTTATTTGAATCTTAATAATCTTATTTATTGAGAGAATGAAAACCTGGCAAAGTAAGGCTACTTTCTTGAAAAGGAGCAAAGAGTCAAAGATGACACCTAGTTTGCGAGCTGTGGATGAGGTGGAAGTGGTTTTAGGATCTAAGATAAGACAAGGGGGTGGAAGGCTGGGTGAAACAGATGGGGAAGAGCAGTAGAGTACTTCTGTGTTATGCGGGTTAGTCTGCACAAAACGTGAGGACTTCCAGGACACAACGACAGAAAGTCAGTATAAAATACCGCTGGATAGATCAGGAGTGAAGGGGGGAAAGATCTGGACGTGATCTGTAAATAAGTGGCCATTAAAGCCATGAGAGGACCTAAATTCTGCCATAAAAATAAAAGAGGAGGGGATCAAGAACATAGACTTGTTGTTCACCAACTGGAATAGGGATGAGATATGGGCATGTAACGTGGAAAGAAACTGTAAAGGGGCGACCAAAAAGTCAGGATGAGAGCCATGAGAGGGCAGTACCAATGATATCAAGTAATCAAGGTTTATCATTGTAGAGGAAATGATGATTGATTAACTCTATTAAAGGCAGCAATGTAATCAAGGAAAATGAAGATGGAATAGAAATTATGATGTAATTCAGCAAGGAAGTGATGAACAAAGAGGAACACAGTTTCTGTTGTATGGGTAGGCTGTAACACAGATTAAATGGTTGACAGAATAGCATGGGAATGGAGGATAGTACATCGTTATTTAAGAAAACAGTAACACACTCCACAAATGTGGAGAAAGTGAAGAATAGAGAGATTAGTCAGAAACTAGAAGATAGGTCAGGTACAAAGGGTGGTGTTTTCATGTGTGATAACTACTAATGGAACTTTATCATAAAATAAAAAGATGGCTAAACAGTTTTAACGTCCATTCTGTTAAGTCCTCTGTAGTGTATACAAGGATGCAAGTTTCTTGTCTTTTTGTCACAAAATAAAAGACACCCGCCCTTTTAGGAAAGAAAGAATATTGTGTTAACATATTCTGAATAGTATCTCCTCCATGTCCTCAGCAGGAGAGTGGTGATATACTCTGCCTCTGGGACATCATACCATGCAAAAGCCCAACTGCCTAATCATATAATCTATGCAGATATAATTTTCTTTGTCTTCTTGATCAAAGAAGACAGATATCTGTGTAGGATTTAGGAATAGTAGGTTTGGCTGGAACAATAGCAATGAATGGCTTAGTTAGGAAGGATTGGATTTTTTTTTTTTTTTTTAAAGATAAGACTACACACCCAATGTTTGACTACAGGATATTATCTAAGAAGCATCTCAGTCAGACATGAAATTTTCTTTTCTGAGCCACTGAACTCCTAAAATTAAAAGACTGGTGGACAGACAGTGGGAAATTAAAATTAGGATGAGAACAAATGATGGGAAAAGAAACTGCAAAAACAAACAAAACAAAAAATAAGAAAGAGGTGCAAAGTTGGAGAGCAGAGACTTGTTCAGCTTAAGTCGATAGAAAGACACAACAAAGAGACTTGTGGAAAAAAAATATAATACAAAAGAGACAGATATGGGCAAAGAGACTGAAGAGATATGTGGGATATACATATTTTTTATAAAATATTTTACCAGGAAAGATACATTGAGATTTATCTCATTTTCAAGTATGTCCTGGGTCCACAAATCATTGCATTGTTACATAGGAGCAGGCTATATGGATTTTTGCCTAAGGCAGTAAAAATCCTTGCATATTCTTATATATATTTATTTTTCACCTTACAAAATTATTTACCAAAGTGAGAATTCAGAGAGAATTTTTTTTTAAAATTCTTTATTTTTCATGTGCGTATAAATAACAGACAAGCGTGCGGGGCCACGACAGCAACTGCAGGCATATTCATAGCGTTTCTTCAGAGAGAATTTGAAGTAAAATTTAAATTTAAGGCCAGAGTACCTGAATGAAAAGCATAAATTACTTTTTTTTTCTTTTTCTCCAATTTGGCATCTTTGACCTTAAATTTGAAATTCACTTTGAATTCTCACTTTAGTGAATAGCCCTGTTAGAGTGTCCCTATAAGTGAAACATATGCAGATAACAATGAGAGGAGATAGGAATGTAAAAATTGAGATCATTTGGGGAGTGGAATGGGAAGTATTGTCCATAGCACCATAACTACTGCATGTTAAGTTTCATTGTTAGATAACACAGGCTGAGCTGGGGGGATAAACAGTGGTTGTGAAGATGCTGAAAACATACACAAGATTTCTGATTACGTTTCCAGCGACTCAAAACAACTGTGTTAACCCAGTTACAAAGACAACTAGCCAAACACCCCTTCCTCTAAACACAAACAATGAAGGTGTGTTTGTCTTTAGTGTGTACAACTCTATTATCCAATGCTCCTTCTACGGTCTTAACGCAGTTTCCATGGTGACGTGTCCGCGTCAATGACGAGCGTTCTGCTGGTGACTCGCCGGAAACCCGCGCGCTTAGAACTCGTTCTGTTGGGGATGGAGTGAGCCAATCAGCTGGGAGCTGATGTAAAGCTGTGGGGTTGACGTCATTGTCCTGGCATTCCAAGTATTGGAGCCCGGAAATAAGGTGGAAGGAGGGAGGATACCGAGAGTTCTTAGTCCCCACCGGTGTCTGTGTCCGTGTGAGGAGCTCATCGAACCCGGCAGGATGAGCGGATTCCGGCAGGAGAATGTGGAGGACTTCTTCGAGATGGGAGAGGAGCTGGGGAGGTGATAGAAATGATAATCTATGACATTATCCATATATTGTGTCAGTCTGTATTGTATTTCTCTCTCTTATTGTCCTATTATTATTATTATTATTATTTATTACTCCACTTCATATACTTTTTAGTAGCTTCACTTCTTTAATTTATTATTATTATTATTATTATTATTATTAGTATGTATGAGAGAGACTCACATTTGACGGTAATGTAGGGGCTGATTCTCTAAACATCGCATTGTGTTTAATATTGAATTGATTAAAATTTGTCAAAAGAGCTGATTGGAAAAAAAAAAAATGAAATATTTTTTTTTAGATTTGCTACAATTAAATTATTAAAGGTTTACTTCAACTACCATGATCACTTCAGTGGTTTGAAGTGGTTATGGTGATAGGAGTATCTAATGTGCGGTGTACATGCTGAGTGATCGGCACCTTTGTGTGGGGGGGCCAGTTACACATGTAGCACGTCTGGTCTGTTCCGGGATGCCTAATGTCAATTCTGTGCATGTTTCACATCTGTCGTTGGTGCACACAGCGTGCTGACAACAGATGTAAAGATCTTTTCCTTTGCAGACAGAACACCTTCAAAGCTAAATCAGCTCTGCCCTCCTGCCATTGCTGACATAGTTTTATTTTTTGTTTTAGTTTTATATCCTCCCTACTCCCTCTCTGGCTCAGAGTGCTTATGTTCACTTTGAACGGTCGAAATGGCTCAATCACAGGCTTCCCTGTGAGTAGCCTGTGATTGGACCTCGCACAGCGGCCCTGAGGTCACAAAGAAGTGTAGAAAGCATGAGCTTTGCCTGGCACTGGGTTTCGGGTAAGCTATAACTTTATTTTATACTTTTTTAGTTAAGGCTGGAGGACATAAAGTATAATGCCCTATAGGGAATTGTACTTAAAAAAAACATAGATATTAAAAAAAAAAAAATAAGTCGGTCTAACCCTGTAAATGAATAAGTCAGCAATAATTATTGGTATGTGCATAGTGCCAACCTATTCCGGTATAGCTTTACAATATTATGAAAGGGGAGAAATGTAAAGGGATACTACAGTCACCACACCAACTAAAGCTCATTGTAGTTGTTCTGGTGAATATAGTCAGTCCCTGCAGGCATTTAAATATTATTAAAGATTTTTACATTTTGTTTTAGTTCCTCCTCCCTGCTTCTTACCTGGCCAGGGAGGGGGGATATGGCATTCCCTGGTAGTCTGGTGGCATGGACTCTGCAGAGGGGGCCCAGCAATACTCTTAATTCCCTTCCCAGCAGCTCCCTTCAGCTCCCCTGTCTAACTCTCGGGGCCAGAGTGCTGCGCAGAGTGTTGCCATGGTAAACAGTGGCAACGCTCTGACAGTCGCGGGACTCGAGAGCTGAAGGGAGCTGCTGGGAAGGTAAGACACAGTGTGCTGCGGGCCCTCCAGGACCGCCGGGCCCATGACAACCGTCTCGGTTGTCATGCCCTAATGGCGGCCCTGGTCTGCATTATTGGCAATATCGGTATCTGTATAGGCCGATACCGATATTGCTGAAAATTTGGGATATCGGCTGTGCAGTGGGAGCACAGCAAGCTCTTACTTACTTTCCCAGCAGATCCCTTCAGCTCCCCTGTGTAACTCTTGCGGTCTGTGTGCCGTTTGGAGCATTGCCATGGTAACCCGTGGCAATGCTCTGACGGCCGCGGGACTCGTGAGATCTAGACAGGGGAGCTGAAGGGAGCTGCTGAGAAAGTAACGAAGTGCTACCTGCGGGCCTTCCAGGACCGCCGGGTTTGTAATGGGCCCAGCGGTCCTGGTATGTATTATCGGCATCTCTATTGGCCGATATTTCTGAAAATACAGAATATCGGCCGATTTATATCGGCCAGACCGATAATCGGTCGATCCCTACTTTTGACCAAAGAGTACTTAAAGGGTTACTACAACCCTTTTTGAGAGGGGAAACTTTGTGGTGTAATATTCCCTACTGGGTTCTATGGATAAGGCCACCCTTCACTATGCAGTAAAACCTTGAATCCAGCGCCACTCAAACCTCCTGGCGGTGACTTCCAGGCACCTCTCTGACGTCACAACGGTGGTCCAATCACTGATGCACTGAAAAGAGGTATTTAGGTATAGGCTTTAAAATATTAACTTAAAAAAAATCTTAATAGTTTTTCTTTAAGGACGGCATTCAACTTAGTACAGCCCTGTGATAAATGAGAAGATCTATCAAAGTGTTGTGTTCTGAAAAGTGGTGCATAAAAAGGAGTTACAATTGTGTCTGCTGGTTGAACTGTTTTGATTTTTTTTTTGTTTGTTTTTTTTATATTTGCCCCATTTATTTTGCTCCATTTTTTAAGAACACATCACTTTAATCTCCCCCAGTGTGTTCATGGCACACTCTGAGGTTGCCTGAGGCACCTCATTGTGCCATGGCATACTAGTTGAAAACCACTATTCTACTCCATGTCTCTGACCGTAATAACTCAATTTACTCATCTATTTAAAAAACACTACTTATCTCTTCCATATTTTCAGTACTTGCTCTAAGTAAATTGGTGTTCAGTGATCTGATCCATCACCTCTACCTCGCAGGCTCGCTGCATGGGTGTTCTTTTTGACTCCAACCTCTCCTTCACCGCTCATGTCCAATCATTTGTCAAATCCTGTCGCTTCCATCTCAAAAACATATCGCGCATCCACCCCTACTTAACCCCGGATGCGGCTAAGGTGCTGGTCCATGCTCTTGTTCTCTCTCGCCTGGACTACTGCAATACTCTTCTCAGTGGTCTTACGTGTTCCCAGATTGCACCGTTGCAATCTATAATGAATGCGGCAGCAAGGCTCTTTTTCCTGTCCGCCCACCCCTCCCATGCCTCCCCACTCTGTCAGTTCCTGCATTGGCTTCCAGTTGCATATAGGGCTCAATTTAAAATTATGGTGCTTGCTTGCAAGTCTCTACATAAGTTGCTCCAACCTACCTATTCTCCCTAATACACAAGTATGTCCCGTTGAGGCCCCTACACTCTGCCAAAGACCTAGGTATATCCTCTGTCTGTACTCCCACCTCTAATGCTCGCCTCCAAGACTTTTCCAGGGCTGCACCTCTTCTATGGAACTCCCTTTCCTTCTCCGTAAGAATTTCACCCAGTCTCCACTCATTCAAAAAATCATTGAAAACTCACTTCTTCAAGAAAGCATATCAATTAAACTGTTAGCAGGTTTTCATCCCCCACCCTTCATGACTCCTCTCTTGCAACTGTCAAAAATTACCTACTAAGCTCTCAATTAATGCTTTTCTATGAACCTACATCGTACCCCTACTTTACCCTTTGTGTCTCTATACCCCACTCCCTCTAAAATGTAAGCTCATGGAGCAGGGCCCTCCACCCCTCTGTTCCTGTACGTCCAGTTGTCTGGTTACAATAACATGTCTGTTAGTCCACCCATTGTACAGCGCTACGGAATCTGATGGCGCTATATAAATAATAAAATTATAATCTGATGCAAGTCCAATGCTAAAGATATGCTACTTTGCTAAACAATAGGGATACATGGATATAACTTAATTACACAATAGGCAGCAATTAACTAAAGCTGACTTTAAAGGACCAGTTTGAGTGCCATAACAACTTCATCGATATTAAGGGTGACAGGAGGTTTATGGCACTGTCCCACCTTAAACCGACATTGAATGGTTTAACCCCAAAGTCTGTGTTACATTGCCAATTCTCTCTTCTCCACTGCCCTTACATTTGTTAAAAATCTGGAAAACTCAGACAGCGATGCTGATTAGCGGTGCTGCTGGCCACCAGTTCCAGTTTCCAGATTCTGGGCAAGCAAAAGGACAGAGGGACATAGTGATTCGGCGCTGGAGCACAGAATTTGGGGTTAAACCAGTAGCGTGCGATTTAACCTCTAAAGATGAGCCAGGGACCAATGAAGTTGTTATGGTGCCTTGAGTGTTCCTTTAGGTGTTAATGCACAACTTGCAATACCAAACGCTGACCAATTACATTCTTTTATTTGGTACATGTTGTTTGATGTGTAATCCATCATATAACTTTTTTCAGAAATGTATTTACTTTCTTTTTTTTCCCTTTTTTTCTTTTTTTCTTTTTTCTTTTAGCGGTCAGTTTGCCATTGTGCGAAAATGCCGTGAGCGCCGGACAGGTATGGAGTATGCAGCTAAGTTTATCAAGAAGCGTCGACTGTCATCCAGCCGTCGTGGGGTCAGCAAGGAAGAAATTGAGAGGGAAGTTGACATCTTGAGAGAGATTCAACACCCAAACATTATCACTCTGCACGATGTGTTTGAGAATCGCACAGATGTGGTTCTGATACTTGAATTAGTGTCTGGAGGGGAGCTGTTTGACTTTTTGGCACAGAAGGAGAGTTTGAGTGAGGAAGAAGCAACCATGTTCTTAAAACAGATTTTGGATGGTGTCCACTATCTGCATGACAAATGCATTGCACATTTTGATCTCAAGGTATGACTCATTATTTTGTGTTATCTCATAGTTTTAATGTTACAAATTCTGTTCCAGTAAATAATGATACATGGCTTTGCTCCCTGTCCACACATGTTTTTATAGTGACCAATCATACTAATTTAAAAACCAAATCATATGTGTTCCACATTAATGCCTTTAGTAGTATTGTATTCTTTAATGCTAGTTACAGTAAAGTGCATGTATTTCAGTACTGGCTATTCTACATTAGTTATTTAGATAATGCCATAAACCTAATCTGCGGCATTGTACATTAGGTAAATCAGACAAATGATTATAACAAGACATGACATTCGACTTGGGACTTGTTTAAACAAGTTACATCATAAAATACACCCATTGATTTCTTCTGGGAAAAGTGAAGTATGTGCTTTAAGTTGACTTGTAGATATATGCTATCTATCACATGTGACAAAATGAAATTTTTGTCACAGTGGTAGGGAAAGGTGAAATGATAGGAAATAATTGTTTCCAGGATTATCTATGTATTTTAGATCCTATACAGACTGTGTCTTTAATAGTGGAAATTCACACACCTCTATCTTTCCTACAGCCAGAGAACATCATGTTGCTGGACCAAAGCACTCCTAACCCAAGGATAAAACTCATAGATTTTGGAATTGCTCACAAAATACAAGCTGGAAATGAGTTCAAAAATATCTTTGGAACTCCAGAATTTGTAGGTGGGTTACATACCAGTGTGTGTATGTGTTTTACCGTGTCCATTTGTGATTTAATATTTAATATATAAATATAAATTTTTTTAAAATTTTTTTTTTTCCTTTTCTTCTTCTATAGCTCCTGAAATTGTGAACTATGAACCACTGGGTTTGGAGGCTGATATGTGGTAAGACTGCATCTGTTGTTTGTGATTCAAGGGGAAACCTACAGAAACTGTTACGCGAATTCATTGTACAAAGCAGAGTTACAGGTCACATTGTTCTGGATCAATCACGGCACAACCCTGTCTCCTCATCCCCTGCTAATGCCCCATTCACTGCTGTTCAGTTATAGCGGGAGCGAATGATCTGTTTGTGAAACTCCAATATACACAACACTATCATAGTGAACAGCCAGCGAGGTGAGAGGCGCTTACTAGTCAGGTTGATGTAAGTGTTGGAGACATACAGACACTATGGGGGGACACTAGTTATTCACTAAACACCAAATTTTCGCAGATTAAATCCGAAGAGTAAAATGGTGACAAAGTTGTAGAATTTTTCATATCTGCTTTTTAAATTTTAGATCCTATCCAGACAAAGGAGGAAAGAATGGGTTTCAAATACACCTTTTCATTCAGACCTTGGTCCTCTGCTTAACCGAATGATCATATTCATTTAAACATGCCTTGACTTTGAACACCTAAACTCTCCATGTAAATAAACCCAGACACTCGCACAGATATATTACATTCACTTCACAGTTAACTAGGACATTGAATATGCAGAGTCTGAGTCCCAGAATATTTCTTAACAAGATAAAGGGGGATACAGGTAGTAACATTTGGCCCTGATTTGCTCACAAAATACTCTAGACACCTAGACCATCTCAATGAAGTAGTCTGGGTGCCATGTCTTTTTCATTTTCATCCTGCAGTTGTAAACATTGTTTTGCAGGAATGGTAATGTTTTCATTGCAGGGTTAACACGTCTCTAGTGGCTATCAGGGAAACAGCAATTAGAGGTGCTATAAACTCTGTTATCGCTCAAATGACTCTCATTGAGATTATTTGATTGGCGCAGTGTAGTGTTTTGCTGTGCATGATCATTCGCTTTCTAACGCAAAGCATTGGTTTATCTGAGCTCAGTCAACAAAAAGGCAGATCAGTCACTGCAAAAGGGGGGAGGGGGGACACATAGATTGGTAGGGGACACTATAGCACTACTTTGCAAAGTATTGTGGAAATTGAACCTGGGAGAGTTGGTTTGTGTGGGATTAAACACCTGCAACTTCTTACCACTTTCAGCTGTTGGGTGAAGGGGAAACTTGGGGACCAAAACTACAACTGTTGGCGTGAGTGCCACTCGTTCTCCAAGCTATGGTTGGATACGTTCTAAACTTGGCTCTATGATGTACCATATCATTACAGAGCAAGCACTTGCTAAAGCCCAGCTTTCTCTGGCACTACTATAATCCAGGGATGAAGCCCCTTCCTCCAGTAATCAAGTATGATGGATGGTGATAGGTAGAAAAGTGTTGGGTTAGAAAGAGGGTGATATGTATGTGGAGAGAAAGAGAGGCGTGGGGAAAATTGGAATGATCAGGAAGTGGAAAAATTACAGTTGAGGTAAAGAAGTATATGTACATTCCTGCATGCATACACACCGCCACAACCCTACATTTATAGACCTGTGAAGACACCCCACAGAAATACACGTTTTCGTTCACATCTGTATTGGTCGCACGTCTGTTATAGCTGATGTTGCAGCTGTACTCCATCTAGTGGCAAAACCTAAAATTGCCCCTAATGAAATAATGCATTACAGGGCTAGTAATTGTTAGTGGTTATTGGTCTCATCTGGATGATGCCTATATAAACCTGAGAATCATACACTGTAACGAGAACAGTATGTGATTGGTCCCTGACTTGGAATTCTGACCTATCCCACTACGATGTCCGTCCTTCTCCTCCAACACCAGGTACCCCAATAGTCTTCTAGGCAGGAATCAATCCCTCTGCCTGCTCTGCCAGGAATTGCAAGTAACTGGGCTGCTACAGGGGGTCTGAGCTTGGGAGGGTGTCAGTGTTGAGGACTGCACCTCTGGTGGGTACAGACCATATGAAGCACTCCCTTTCAGTCAACACTCACTAATGGAGTCAGAGCACAGCCGCTGAGATTCCCAGCCTGCTTTTGACTTACTGACCACCGGGACCATGATGCTGACTTTGCTGAGATTATTGTGGTGTGCACCCACAAGAAGTGTAGACCACATGCCAATACATTCAACCTCCAGTGAATATAACCACTGCTTGACCCCACAACCTGCAATAAAAAAACGAGCAAACCGTTTACACACAGACATTATGGGGGGACACTAGTTATTCACTAAACACCAAATGTTCGCAGATTACATCTGAATAGTAAAATGGTGACAAAGTTGTAGAATTTTTCATATTGGCTTTTTAAATTTTTAAAAAAGTTTTTAGTGAATAAATGTGCACGGCTTTTGGCATGAGGTCCAATCAGAAATTTTGTGTATCAGGACAAGTAGATTGTCATGATGTACAAGTGGGCTGGAGTACTGCTTTAGCACTTTAGACCAGTAGTTAATTTATCAGCACTAAAGGAAGTGCATTCTATTCGAAGGGAGGTTTTTAGGCTATATGTGTATGACAAACCAGCAGCTAATTGTCAAACAAAATAGTCTTGATTTTCATTACTTTAGCATATATCGGGAAAAGCAAAGAGGTGACCAATCTCTGCATAAACCATCTCTATTTTGCCTATACTACATGTTTAAAGGAACACTGTAGGTCTTTATCTTAGTTTGTGTCCGTGCCCCCAACCTGTCCCATTAGTGTCCCTGTCTCCCACTCACCCCAATTAGTGACTCTGCTGTAGCTCACCAATTGGTGTGTCTGCTCCATATTGCTCGTCCTGGTGTCCAAACAGTCAGAGAGGCATACGATAAGTCCCGCCCCCTTCACAAAGCCTTTGACATGCAGTAGCACTAATCTAAAGACATTGATTTCTAATATATGATTCAATTCTTGTTTTAGGAGCATCGGAGTGATCACCTACATTCTGTGAGTATATTCTGTAATCGATACAACATGGTAGTTAGATGGGCTCCTTTTAAGGGACCTGTTTTTGTTTGATGCCCGCAATATGTATTCATACATACTAATGATGGGGTTTGTATTTGTACATACTGTAAATTTATGCCAGAGTAACATCGAATGTGACGGCAGATAACCATTCGACCCATCTAGTCTGCCCAATTTTCTAAATACTTTCATTAGTCCCTGGCCTTAACTTAAATCTAGGATAGCCTGATGCCTATCTCACGAATGCTTAAACTCCTTCACTGTGCACTGTGTTAACCTCTACCACTTCAGCTGGAAGGCTATTCCATGCATCCACTACCCTCTCAGTAAAGTAATACTTCCTGATATTATTTTTAAACCCTTGCCCCTCTAATTCTATGTCCTCAAATTAGAGGGGCAAAGATTTAAAAATAATATCGGGTATTGAGTAAATTGCTAAAAGATTGCCATTTAATTAATTTGCATTAATATCTTTGTAGTTAATTTAGTTTTTTTTATTCAAAAGTGAGATCTCCTCTGCATGCTTATTGTTTTTTTGGGTTGTGTGATTATTATTTATTACTCCTGTTTATTCTTATTTTTATTTATTTATTTATTTATTTTCTGCTTTACATAGTCTCAGCGGAGCATCTCCCTTTCTGGGAGAGACAAAGCAGGAAACCTTAACAAATATTTCTGGTGTTAATTATGATTTTGATGAGGAATACTTTAGCAATACAAGTGAATTGGCCAAAGATTTCATCCGACGACTGTTGGTGAAGGACCCCAAGTGAGTGCTTTGTTTAATGTCTCAACTGTGCCACTGGTTAATTGTAAGGTATTTTAAAGGCATTTTTAAAATTTACAGATCAAAGATGAACTTTTCCTGGAAACATAACTGTTCTTTATTTCTCTCTTAGGAAACGGATGACAATTGATCAAAGTTTGGAGCATTCATGGATTAAGGTTAGTAAAAAGAGAGATTTGGAATACAAATTTTTGTTCTTAAAATCTCAAATCTTTAGAAGGCAGCTAAGGTGCTGGTCCATGCTCTTGTTCTCTCTCGCCTTGACTACTGCAATACCCTTCTCAGTGGTCTTACATGTTCCCAGATTGCACCGCTGCAATCTATAATGAATGCGGTGGCGAGGCTCATTTTCCTGTCCGCTCGCACTTCCCCACGCCTCCCCGCTCTGTCAGTCCCTACATTGGCTTCCAGTTAGATATAGGGCTCAATTTAAAATTCTGGTGCTTGCTTACAAATCCCTACATAATGCTGCTCCAACCTACCTATCCTCCCTAATACACAAGTATGTCCCGTCGAGGCCCCTACGCTCTGCCAATGACCTACATATATCCTCTGTCCGTACGCCCACCTCTAATGCTCGCCTCCAAGATTTCTCCAGGGCTGCACCTCTTCTGTGGAACTCCATTTCCTTCTACCTAAGACTTTCACCCAGTCTCCACTCATTCAAAAATGTATTGAAAACTCACTTCTTCAAGAAAGCATATAAATTAAACCGTTAGCAGGTTATTATCCCCCACACCCCATGACTCCTCTCCTGCAACTGTCAAAAATCACCTACTTAGCCCTCAGTGAATACTTTTCTAACAACCTACTTCATAACCCTACTTTTACTCTTTGTGTCACTATACCCCACTCCCTCTAGAATGTAAGCTCATTAAGCAGGGCCCTCCACCTCTCTTGTACGTCCAGTTGTCTGGTTACAATTACATGTCTGTCAGTCCACCCAGACATGGAATCTGATACAACAGCGCTACGGAATCTGATGGCACTATATAAATAATAATATAGTGTAACAGACTACAGAAGCATCTTAAAATACCACAAAAAAAAATCTTATTAGAAAGGTGCCTTAGTAATAGACCTTTGCCTGTTCTGGCTAGCTGGAATTAATTACTTTGTAAGGATTGCTTTGTACAGTGGACACTTTTTTTTTTTTTTTTTATAGTACTTGTTAATGGGATCTAACTTTTATTTATAAATTATTCCCTCTTTAGGCTATCAAACGTCGCAATGTGCGTCATGAGGACAGCGGCAAGCGTCCTGAACGCCGGCGCTTGAAGACAACCCGTTTAAAGGAATACACTATCAAGTCACACTCTAGTATGCCACCTAACAACACCTATGTGAACTTTGAAAGGTTTAGCCATGTGCTGGAGGAACTAGGTGCAGCAGAAGATGCACTTCGTGATCTTCAGAAGAGTCAGGCCACATCCCGAGAAGACCTCTGCGCCCTTCGCTCAATTTATGAAGAGAAGGAAAGTTGGTATCGTGAGGAGCAAGAGGCCGTAGGGCGCCAGTTGTCAGGTTTACGTCAGGAGCTACAACGTGGGGAGAATCAGCGTCGCCAAGTTCAGGAAGACCTAAAGGGTACAATGGCCAATGCTAATGGCCTTAGGAGACGCTTTGGCCGATTAGAAAACCGATATGAAACGTTAACAGCTCAGATAACTGCAGAGATGAGTTTTGTAGAAGAGTTACTAAAAACTATAGAAAAAGAACGGATAGAACAGATGGATGTCAGAGGAGTGTGCTGAAAAGTGGAGGTTATGAGCTTTTACAGAAAATGGAAGTGTAGTGAAAGGGAAAAATAATGGGGTTGCTGAAAGAAAAAGATTTAACTAACAGACCTGGTAGCACCTGTCTGAGTTTGTTGGGTACTCCAGGTCAAAAGATATTTTCTGAAATATAATGGTGCTGAAAGGTGAAGAAAGGGTTTGTTCAACAAGTGTAATTAAGATGGGACTAAAAAGGAGCTTGCTTAATTTAACCTAAATTGCATTTTCTTTCATATTCTCTACTAAGCTAGCTCTTGCTGCATGGAATTATGTACACGGTATACAGGTGCTTCATGGATATGAAGTATAACTTCTAGGCTTTACAGAACCTACCATGAATTAACCAGAATGATGATGAAATAAACTGTGCTTTTCTATGGGGCTTGTGCATGACTTTTTTCAGGTGTGGTTATTGTATGACTGTCACAGAACCTGCAAAATGTAACCTTCTTATTAAATTTAATTTTATACAAAAAAAAGCTTATGTTTTAACGATATGTTAAATATGTTTGTAACATGTAACACTTCTAAAGAGTACTATATATGAAATGGTAAATAAACCTCAATTTTGCACATGTACAGATTACTCTGTGATGCCACCAGGGGGCGGCGTTTACTTGCGCACTATTAAACAACATTTCTCTCTTAACTTTGTCCCGATTCTAAAGAAGAATTGGGAACTGCTTCTATAATGGCATCCTCTATAAGACTACTTCTTTTTTTTGAAGGGCATTTATATATTTGTAGATCCTGTCTGTCTGCACTTGGAAAAACAGAGGTCCAAGTGTTTGTTACTGTAGGACAGGAGATGGAATGTTGGTCAGAGTGACCGACACTAGGATTTCACATCTTGGTGAAGAGTTTGTTTTCTGTCTCACATGCATCTAACAAAATTTACACATTTTCTGAAAAGATCATGGAGATTCACGAAAGGCAATGTAGCAGCTCAGTATGTGTATGAAGTAATGTGTCGGACAGATTTAGTGCCCGATTTTGTGTATAAAAAATAAAGCTTTATATATTCCTGCGATTAGTTTTTTTTTTTTTTTTTTTAAATCTAGTATCTACAGAGAAATGTATCTAGAAAAAGGGTCACAAAAGCTGTGCAAAGATAGCAATGAATTAACTTGATTTTTCATTCGTTGGTGAATTTTAGCATACTAGCTGTGAATATATATGCGTACAATTGGATACATCAGATTACATTTTCTAGTAAGTGGTTGCGATTTTAAATTATAAAATAAGCAGACATTTGTGAACTATGCCAGCTGTTAGGCTGGCTAAGCATCATGGGAAATGGTGACTATAAGTAACTTACCATCAGTATTGGAGACACTTTTAATTATTTTCATGGCTGCCATTAATATAACGTATTTTTACGAGATGAGCCATTGCTACAGTGACATACCATATGTACTCAGGTGCAGTAGCCTACATGGCATGTACATAACAGTCACATAATCTGCTCTGTAGTACAAACACCAGGAAGAGGCATAGGCAGTTTCTTTGATTTTCACAATGCAATGTTACTTTGCTTTAAACCTCGACATATTTCCAGGTCAAAGCAAGAGTTCACACCAGGCTTTAAAGAGGCACTTTTAGTACTGAGGTAGATGTATACCTCAATGGCTAACTAAAAGTTAACCACGAGTTTTATGTTTTTACATATCTGGCTATTTGGGTGCAGGCAAGATATTCCATGTAGATTTAAGGGACACTCTAGTCACTATAGCAACTTCATCTCTCTGAATTGGTTATAGTGCCTGTAACCCCTAGGCATTGTCCCGCCAATGTAAAACCACTTGAGAGCAGTTTTAACATTAAGGGTCCCTGGCCACCACAGTCCAGCCCCTTCTGGAGGCTGGGTTGTGGGTGGCCAGTGTGTAATCTGTGGCTAAGGCAGAGATTACACACTTCCTTGTAGTCATTCCCTTCATACTGTCAGTTGAAGCTCTGATATGCTTAAAGCAGTCAGCTTACACTTTTAGCCCATCAGAGGTGTCCATCGCTTCTCAGGCTAATATGTCCTCATTAACCAAAGCAGCACAGAAGGGATGGGCTGCTGGTGACTCACATTTAGCATAAAAAAACAGTTTAATGCTGAATTAAATAACAGTAGCACAGGACTCCAGACACTAGAACCAGTTTAATGAGATGAAGCAGACACCAGTGTGTCTTTAATCCCTGCTGTACAATACACAATGCCACATGTACACAAACTGCACTATTGAAGACCTTTACAAATGCATTTTTTATGGCATTTCTGTACAGATAAGTCACACTGAGCATGTAGGGATGCAGAGGTATGGCTAGGGGGAAGTTGTTCAACCTCTGTAGCACTACACATTCCTGTACATGTTTCAAAAGCATTTACTATGTGAGGAGAAGAGGACCAATGGCCAGAGAAGTGACCGTTCTGCTTTAAGTATTATGTCTACCAATTTCTTTAGCTTTTGGCTCTCGGTACAGTATAGGGAACATCCGCTCAGTACGAACATTCTCACACAGCGGTTCTGTAGGGAACACTGATGGCTTGCAAATTCTATAAGGACATTTTAAGCCAGTAATTCAAAATGGCAGATTTGAAAAGCATTCAAGTAAGAAAGGGAAATGGAAATGTTTGCCTTTGTCAGTTACATTTTGCTGCCAGTTTGTGGGGGGGTTATTTTGTGTTGAGGTCATTTTGTTTAGGGGTGACCACTAGCATGAATTTCCTCTTTATTGAACCTAATCACCTTCAAGATGTTTGACCTTCTAGGGCTTACCATTAAGAAGTACTTCATTTAAAAAAGTTACCTTTTTAAGTCACAACTACAATGTTTAAAAATTATCTTTTTTTTTTTTTCATCTTTAACCCCTTCAGGACTGGACTGTTTTGGCCATGTTGTACATTAAGGACCAGAGCTCTTTTAACACTTTTGTGGTGTTTGTGTTTGGCTGTAATTTTCGTCTCTCTCATTTACTGTTCCCATACAAATTATATATTGTTTTTTTTCAGGACAAAAAGGGCTTTCTTTACATACCATTATTTGTATCATGTGATATAATTTACTTTAAAAAAATAAAATATGGTGACAAATTGGAAAAAAAAACAGGTTTTTTTGACTTTTGCTTGAAAAATCTTTTACTTACTTATGAAAGCTAATGAAAAAAAAAAACTGCTAAATAGATTAAAAATGTTGTCCTGAGTTTAAAAAAAACACCCAGTGTTTAAGTGCTTTTTTTTTTGCAGGTTATAGGGCTATAAGTACAAATAGGAAATTGCTGTTTTAAAATATTTTTTAAATGTATCAATAGTGACTAGTGATGTCCCGAACTGTTCGCTGAACGGTTCGCCACGGACTCATCATTGAGTAAACTTTGACCCTGTACCTCACAGTCAGCAGACACATTCCAGCCAATCAGCAGCAGACCCTCCCACCTCCTGGACAGCTCACTAAGAATGCAGCTTCACGGGGGCGTGGCTAAGCGCTCGAGCTGCACGGTCGCATGCCGGAGTAGCTCCCGCCGCTCAGGACACAAGGGGCACCCAAATAACCGGGCTACCGAGCGCCAGCACTAGCGAGACGGCAGACTGATACCTACCATGTCCCAGAGACAAAAGCCGAAACCAGCGAGGACGGATAAAGCGTCCTTCTTTCAAGCGAAAGCCACTTCACAAAAAGCGCGGGAAGACGCCGATCAAGATGGCGGCCCGCCACGATCCCGGGAGGGCTCTCCTGCATCCCCAGCTTCCCCAGCACCAACTGCTGAGGACCAACCACTCACAGTGGCAACTATGAGAGGTATGATGACAGAGCTCACAAACACAGTGCAAAGAAGCCTTAAGGCTCAAATGTTGACACTGACAAACGAACTTAGGAAAGACTTGCAGGACATAGGGACACGCACTGCACATCTAGAATCCAAGATGGACGAATTTTCCATGGCACATAACAGTGTGGCTGATAAAATGCAGGAAATGGAAGATGTCATTACAGCTCAAAAGATCAAGCTGGCGGACCTGGAAGATAGGTCTAGGAGGAACAACCTCCGATTTAGGGGGATACCTGAATCAGTTACAAATGCGGACCTAGATAAATACTTGCAAGACATGTTCCAACAGATGACCCCAGAACTACACCCGGACCAACTTCTGCTGGACAGAGCACATCACCTCAGAAGACCTAGTCACCTACCCAATACAGCAGCGAGAGACGTCATAGCAAGAGTACATTTCTTCCATGCCAGAGAAAGAATTATCAAAGCCAGCAGGAATAGAGGGATGCCGGAAAAATTCTCCAACATCAAAATCTTTTCCGACCTTTCGGCAGAGACATTACAGTACCGCAAATCTCTGGCACAAATCACGCTATCACTGCGCAACCAAGGAGTAAACTACAGGTGGGGATATCCGGCCAAGCTGCTGGTCTACCATGGAGACTCCCTCCACGCCATCACATCAGCGACGCAAGGCATCAAGATGCTCAGAGACTGGGGAGTCCCGCTGGCAGAGTTACAAAAAACAGGCCCAACGAAAATCCCCCACCTGGCCCAGGATTGGGCATCCCGCTAAAGAGACTGCATGACCGTATGGTATACGTAAGACTCATAACCAATTGTCAGTTATCTTATTGTATTTAACACTCTGTTAATCAGTTTTTTCTTATTTTACTGTTACACCTGGGAAATACGTGGGTATGTACCGGGGCCCCCCTGACCACCTCCCAGGCCGACTAGCCAGGTCCACAACGAGATTTATTCTCGGTTAGACCACGACACTGCCCAAACACCAAAGGTTGGGGAGCCGGGACACTGGAGGCCCACAGGCAGGGAAGTGACGGAAAGGGAGAGAATATCTATATAAAAAAAAAAAACACAGGCTAACCACATCAGCACACATGGTGCCCCAACGTGTGCTTGTCACAGGGACACACTCCGCACTGGAAGTCCCAACTCCACCACCCCCCCAGACTGCGTGCGACCCTTGGGCGCCGCAAACAGGCTCGATCCAGAGGAGCCTCATAGGGTTAAGCCCTTTGTTTACCCCTCCCTCCCCCATACATACTGAAACGACACAAAGACAACAGCTAAAGGCTGACCTCACCCCGTCCCCTTCTTGCCTCCATATCAATTTTGCAACAGACATCTACACCGAACTGCCACACAAAGGCTTTCACCGAAACATTGGGTGTAAAACCTAGAACGTAGCTCTTCTAACACAAGTACCAGCTCTTGGGTCACCAACCACAACCACATCATTATGAGAATAGTGTCCTACAATGTTAAAGGATTAAACTCACCGGGAAAACGCAGGTTGCTGTTCCAAGACCTTAAGAAAAACTCGGTAGATATCGCATGCCTCCAAGAAACACACTTTAGACACCCCACAGCCCCAACCCTTTTCACAAAACTATACCCCGTACAGTATCATGCCTTATCGGAGACGAAGACAAAAGGGGTGGCCATCCTAGTGCATAAAGACATCGCCTTCACGCCACAAAGCAGCTACATAGATCCTAAAGGGAGATATATCATAGTGGTAGGGCTCTTCAATAATACACAATACACCATTGGCGCAGCATACTTCCCGAATGACAATCAAGCCTCTTTTCTCAAAGCACTTCTGTCCAAACTAGATACATATAAACAAGGAGGGCTCATAGTGGGAGGAGACTTTAACTTCATTCAGTCCCCGACCTTAGATACTACTGCTTCGCCACAGGGGAAGCGCAAAAAGGGGACCCAAGCCCTCTGCAAGAATCTCACCAACACCTTGACACTGTACAACTTATATGATAGCTGGCGAACACTACACCCTACAGACCGGGACTATACTTTCTACTCAAGGGTCCACAACACGTACACACGTATAGACACCTTCTTTATAGATAACAAGACCATGCCGCAATTGACAGACTGCAGGATAGGGGAGATAACGTGGTCAGATCACAGCCCAATCTATCTGGACGTGGAAGATACCTATCAGACCAGAGGCAGGAACACATGGAGGCTAAACGAGTCCCTCCTATTAGATAAATCGTTTGTAGAACGTATGAAGACAGAACTTAGGGAATACTTCCTTGCGAATGCAACAGACGAGGTCACGGACTACACAGTGTGGTCCGCACACAAAGCGGTGATGAGGGGCCAGTTCATCAGACAATCAGCGTACATAAAGAGACATCATCAGACCACCCTACTAGAATGCCACAAACAGATAGCGATACACACAGCCCAAAACAAGAAAACACCCACGGCAGCCCTAGCAGACAAATTAAGAGGTCTGTATCAGGACCTAAATGAGCTCAATGCCCACAAGACCCAATATTTCATACATAGACTAAGAGCCACCACGTACCACCACAGCGGCAAGGCAACCAAATACTTGGCCAACAGACTGAGAACCAGGCAGGCCGCCAATAGAATCCCACATCTTATAGGACATGCAGGAGACAAACTTATGAACCCCATGGACATAGTGCAGGAGTTTGCACACTTTTACAAACAGCTATATAACCTAAACACAAGTGGGGGCGTAACAGCACCAGACACACAATCTATTCGCAGTTACCTACAGGGTGTGGAACTCCCCAAAATAGACCAAGAATCAGTGAGCGCCCTACTCGAACCGATCTCCATACAGGAGATCCGGACAGTAATTAAGAGTCTGCCCTCGGGCAAATCCCCGGGCGCAGATGGTTTCTCAAACAGCTATTACAAGACATTCATAGATATACTAACCCCACACTTGCTCAAGGTATACCATACAGCGACGGAAATAGGATCCCTTCCCCCTGAAATGCTAGTGGCCACGATAGTGACGCTCCCGAAACCAGACAAGCCTACGGATAGCTGCAAAAATTTTAGACCTATATCCCTCCTTAATACAGACGCGAAGATATATGCTAAGATTTTGGCCAACAGACTGGCACCCATCCTCCCAACTATCATAGGAGACGACCAAACAGGATTCATTAAGAGTAGGCAGGGTAGGGACAATACCAGAAAACTCTCCTTGGTGCTGGAAAAACTGAGGGGATCGGGACAGGGTGGGCTTTTATTAGCCCTCGACGCCGAGAAGGCGTTTGACAGATTGAATTGGTCATTTCTTGAACACACACTTCAAAAATACGGCATCCCCTCCGAATTTATCAAACAAATATTTGCTCTGTATGCAAGCCCCACGGCCCGAGTGCTACAAGCAGGCTTCCTCTCAGACCCGTTCCCCCTGACAAACGGCACGAGGCAGGGATGCCCTCTATCACCGCTGTTGTACGTCCTGGCCCTAGAACCACTACTAGTCCAAATTAGAAATCATGAGGGCATCAAAGGAATAGAGCTTCACAGCAGGGAAATTAAAATTAGCGCATTTGCAGATGACATACTCCTTTGTGTCACTGAGCCCAAACAGTCGACTGCACTCATCTTAGATCTCATCAGGGAATATGGCAAGAGGTCTTACTACTCTCTCAATGCCAGTAAGACGCAAGCGTTGGGGGTTCGGCTCAACCACCGAACCCTGACTGCCCTCAAAGAGAAACATCATTTTGAGTGGAGGATGGATACAATAAAGTATCTAGGACTGACCTTTACGAAAAACCCTACAGAGACCTTTTCGGCCAACTACGTTAGGGTGGGGGGTGAATGCCGTCAATTGATGAAAAAATGGGGCACACTGTTTCTAACCTGGACGGAGAGAGTAGCAACCATCAAAATGTCCATACTTCCTAGGCTTCAATACCTGTTTCGCAACCTACCGATTCAGGTACCCGCATCCTATCTCCGAGAAACACAAAGAGATATAAATAGATTTGTGTGGGGGGGTCAAAAAGCCAGAGTAAAAGGAACACTACTACGAGCACCAGCGAGACAAGGTGGCCTAGCCTTACCGGACATTAAGTCATATTACCAAGCAGCAATGCTAGCAACACTTCTTCCCCATTTCATGACCACAACCATACCGCAGTGGGTGCACTTAGAACAACTAGCGGTCAGGCCCTTTGATATACCCACCCTATTGTGGCTTCCAAACCGGTTTAGACCAGCAGTGGCACAGATGCCAGCACAGATAAAAATAGCACTGAAC